GCAGCAATAAATATTTTTAAGAAGCATAACAATCCAGGCAGAAAAAATGAAAAGAAACTGACATCTGTATGCATCATGCATGGTGCAACTGTAGAAAAACAAAGGTAATGAGAAAAATATTATGAGCAATCAGAAAAGAGCAGTTATATTAACAGGTGATTTGATTATAATAATGGATGACAGAAGACAGTGTATCTTTGACATGCTGACTAAAAACGTCTACCAACTCAAACTTCTATGTCCAAAGAGACTATATATTTTAAGGATGAGGAAGAAATAGAGATTTCTTTCAAATAAGCAGACTGTGAGATAGACTGTCCCCTCAAGACCCTTAGGACAGGAATTTCTCAGAATATATTTCAAGCAGAAGAAAAAGTGATCCTAAAAAACAAATCCAAGGTTCGTAAAGAAATAAATAGCAAAGAACACTGCAAATATTAGGCAAATGTAAACAAACATTGACTCTATAAAAGAGAATAATGTCTAGTGGTATTAAAAAATCAAAATACCTGATAATAACAACATATATATTGAAAAAGTGATAAATTGATTAAAAATATTCTTAGGTAATCTTGGGAGACGGTAAAGGATCTCATAGTAGCTTTATACTTTGATAAGCACAGTGCTTTGATATATACTATAATCCTAGGCTAACTATACTAACAGAGTAGAAACAAAATGTGTCCCTCTCAAACTGGTAGAGAAAAGAAAAAAATGGAATGATAAAATATTAAAGGACAGAAAAAGCAAGAAATACGTAGTGAAAGAAGCAAAAACAAAAGAAACATACGCTATGATTCCATTTACATGAATTTAAAAAAACCTAAATTACATTTTAAGGGATATAGCTATAAGTGGGAAAATAAAAAAAGACAATAAAAGAATGACTAAAATGCAGGTTAGTGGCTAACTCCAGAGGAAGGAAAGAGGCTATGATGCCAAAGGGACAAATGATATGGAGTGGAGCTTCTGAAGGGCTGGCAGGGTCTATATCTCATCCTGGGTGGTGCTTATATGGGTGACTGATTAATACATATTAAAAATACATACAGATGTTTTATAAATTTTACTTAAAAATGGTTTCTGCATTATTTTATAATATTTTACAGATTTTAAGTGAGTTATAAATAAAAATACATGAAAAAAGTGAGAATCTGAACACTATCCTTTCCTTCATAATCCAGAAAATCTGGATCTAGGGATACCAGTGGTTTTTCTTCTCACTGGAGAGCCAGCCAGCCAGTCCAAATCAACCTGCCCTGATGTGAGGTTAAATGAACAAAAGAGAGAGCATGTTAGGCAAATAAGGGGTACAGTTTCCTTTCTTGGTAAAGAGTGCCTTTTATTTTGATAATTTTATCCTTCCTATATTTTGGATTGGGTATTTTATAATGTGCTTTCTGTTATAAAATGCTGATGATAGTAGGTGGTCAATTATAATTTAATGTCCTTTTTATAAAACAAGGACAGAATAGGTCATTCTTCCTTCTCCTTTAAACTCACTGAGGAAGCTATGAATCTCTATGAAAATAAGCAAGTGATTCTGTGCTTATTTGCACAATAAAGCTGCTTTTGATAAAATTGTGACTTAGATATTGTTATGGATTGAATGTTTCTGTTCCCCTAAAATTCCTATGTTGAAATCTTAAGCCCCAGTGCGATGCCATTAGGAGGCAGGGCCTGTGGGGGGTAATTAGATCATAAAGGTGGAGCCCTCATGAATGGAATTAGTGTCCTTATATGAAAAGACATGAACATCTGCTCTCTCGCTTTTTGCCCTCTGCTGTGCGAGGATACAGCAAGAAGACAGGACAGATGCAAACCAGGAAGTAGGACCTCAGCAGACACCAGATCCACTAGCGCCTAGATCATGGGCTTCCCAGCTTCCAAAACGGGGGGAAATAAATGTGTGTGGTTTAAGCCACCCAGTCTTTGCTACTTGGATATAGCAGTCCTAACTGAATAAGACAAATATGAACTGGAAGAACTTCAGTGAGAAAGAAAAGTAGCCAAACACGGAATGTGGGGTCAGGCACAATACTTTGTGACATGCTGTATCAAATGTGAAAACAGTAAGGGTAAGAGCCAAGGGAAGAAGATGGGAACCCTGGGAAACTTCACATGGACATTTAGGAGGTTAACATCTAGAGCCCTAAATGGATGCATGGCTTAATTTTCAGTATTAGTCATTGCTCTGAGATAGCATTTTATACTGCTTACAGATACATTCTTTCTGAGGTCATGCATGATGGAGTTTCTTGAATTAGTATATTCTCTTCTATAAATGAATCAGGTCAAGTACAAAACTAATATGATGTAATAATATAATTATTCTCTATATTGTGTACTATAGAATATACTATATTTCTGTATTTAATAGAGTATGATATAATAAAGCATAATAATTATTTTTTGGTCATTATGTATTTGTTTTTACTAATTAATTTTATTCCTTACTAATTATGTTGGCAGGGATCTCTATGCCCATTTCACAGGTAAGGATTCTGAAGCTCAAGGAAGTGAGTAATGTTTCAGCTACTAAGTGGTAAAAACAGAATTACATCCCATTCAAAAGTATTAGGGTCCAACTTCAAAACTGCTCTGGCTGTTTTTGTTGCCTTGTCTCACCACTGCATTAACATTTAAAGATCATTTGTATAAAGATTAATTTATTCTTTATATTTATTCTTTTAAATCACATTTATTCTTTTAAATCACATTCTGCACTCACTCAGGCAGCTTGTAATGACCCCTAGGAGGAAAGGGCAGACTTTTTTCCAAGAAGCACAATGAACAACACCAGAACAAGTCTAAGGGGGTACAAGAGAAATTCAGAAACTTGAGCATAAATCACTTTCAGAATAAAACCACAGCATCTTTAATCAAGGCCTGGCAATCATTGTGTTGTTTCTCCAAGATTGGAACTGTTAACTGTGGGCTATCCCACTAGGCCTTTAATACTTGTTTAGAAATGGATCCAAGCAGTTGACTAGCAAGACAATTCATGCAGCACAAACATGAATCTGTGATTCTCTTACCCATTACCACAAAACACAGTTAGTTCCTGCCCTGAATTGACTTTAAAGACATTGAGTGCCTGGGAGAAACCATAAGAGCATTATAAATGGAGCCAGAAGTAATAAATAAGGACTGCCAAAAAAATGTTAACAAATTTCTCCTGCAAGTCAAGTCTATTGTCAATTTACAACAGTTCTGAAGGTTGAACGAGAGGCATGCAATTAGTGAGCTAACTTGCAAGGTTTGCCTGCAATCAAAAAGGGAGTTTTCTTTCACCTGTATAATATTTAACAGCTGATAATTTTATCTCCTGGTATGAAAAAATTAAAATAATAAAATAAAAATAAACCAAATGCTTTAAAATATGGACTCTTATCTCTCCCATTATCCCACATATTAGAATAAACGCTTCTCCCAGTGGAATTCTTCTCACTTAGCAGGGGAAGATCATCTTTTCAGCAGCCAAACTCAGCAGGCCAGTGACTTTCCTTCCCTCCTGACTTCCCCCTAAGAGCTCATTCAAAGGGAAGACAAAGGACCTACAAGTGGATGCAAGTTGTTTTGTGCCTGGCCCTTAGGTGTACTTCATTTTCCTTAAAAAGATTATCTCAACCTTACTGTAGCCAAAAATAAAAACAAAATAAAATCCTAAAACAAATTTCTGAGGCAGTTTAAATTAAAAAGACAAAGGACTGAGAAATACTTTTAATTTATTCATAATTAGTTTACAGATCGGACAGCACTGAGACTCCAAAATCAGCAAGCCACTTGGGGATAAAGGCTACTGCAGTTATCAGAAGCAAGCCAAACGCTACCTTTTGTTCTTAATTAAAATCTTCTTTAAAAAAAAATCTCATAGCAAATGATTTTCTATTTTCCATTTAAAGAGGATTACATAGCAAACACAACCAGTGGCTGGAGAGCAAAGAACTTCCCATCGTTTTATTACCTGCCAAATATAAATTAGTTCATTGTGGGTAACTCCTGCCAGGCGACCCCTTTCCTTGTCATCCATCAGGCCGATGGGCTGTGGCAGGTTAGTTCCTGCCCGGAGTCCTTGAGTCTTTCCTAATCAGGAGGCTGTCAGATACGTTGCCTGCCCACTGTCTCCTACATCTTGTGGCAGCTCTTGTATTTGGGCAGCAGCGGCTTGAGCTTGAATTGCCCCAGTAACTGGCTCTGAATTGCTCTTACTTACTATCACTGTCAAATCTTTGCAGGCATATGTGAGGGCCTCCTCCAGGTACAAGGAAGAAACCCTACAAATTTCACTTTGTAATAACTACACGACACAGAAATTGTATTAGCTCCATTAGATGGAGTCATAGAAATATTCGAAAAGGTTAGCTGGATATAGTGAACGTCACAGTTAGACTAAGATAAAAAAATCGCTTGTCTAATTTAGAGTGTTTCCTCATTGGTAATACCCTATATTAACGTGCCATTTATAAACAGTTTATTATTATTTATTAATGTCTGAAGCACTTTATAGCATGCTAGATAACAACTTAAATTCATGTATTAAAGATGCACATACATGGTTTAATACGATTTACGTCTTATAATATTCTTTAAAACAGCTTCCCATAGTATCATCCGTTAAGCATTTATTACTAATGCATTTTATAACATACTTTATAATACATTATTTGAGCAAGTAGCTGCATTTAGTGATCATTTCATACATAAGAATAAGGCATTTATAAATGTCATCTTAATTTAAAGTGTTACCTTCGCATTACTACATAGCTGCTCACCATACATCTCATTTTGTGATTATTCTCCAAATGCACCACTTAATAAAACAGACACTAAGTTCTATTTTCCCTTCATCTGATTAAAAGTTTATTGAGTCATTTTCGCCAAATGTTTTCAGATGTTGGTAGCTTGGAGGTTTTAGTGTGATTTCTGATAAAACCAAACTTTTAATTCTACAATATTTCTGAAAAGATGTTTAACAATAGAAGTAGAGAATTACTTACCATATTGGACAGAGCCTGTTGCTTGGATTCTTTGTAAAATTCAATTTTTCGACTAGAAAGAACAACCCAGGAAGTAGACCAGTTTTTCCTTAGAAAAAAAAAAAAAATAAAAAGGAAAAAAAAAGCATTATCAGTTGAAGAAATCATTTATAGATACAATATGAGCAACATTTGGAATGAGTAGAGACCATCTTTATTTTTAACAGTCTTCCTAAAAGTCTCCTCTTTATTAAAATCTACAGGTGGTATGGAATTTGGGTAATAATAAACACGTTCTGGAATTATTTAAAAGCATAGCATTTATAGTAAGAGTTTCTCAATTTATAGTTCCTCCTAAAATCTTTTTCAACCACCAAAAATCCATTTTTTTGTGTATCCATGTGCATCCTTTCCATAAAAAGTTTATGTTTCTACAGCAAACCAAAAATAGCAAAGTAAAAGTAGGAATCAGAACCCGTTCCTTCCTTCATTGTTTCTTCTCTTCTTTGGTTTAGTGTATTTCAGTCTTAAAAACTAACCAGCCTCATGTGTCATTGCTTAATTCAAAATATTTTCATAATGTTGAATCTTACAGAAATCAAAGATATACAAATAAAATAGTGACATGCATTTTCCCTCTTTGTACCTCAAATTGTCAAGGAATAAAAGAAATAACATCTGAGAACATCTAGGGATAATCAGGGTGCAGGAAATAGATTCTCTCATATACTATTGGTGGGAGTTCAGACTGTTGCTTCCTTTCTGGAGTGCAATTTGACAATGTGCTTTTTAAAAATCCCTAAAAATGTGTATATCTTTCAGCTAAACATGTCCATTCCTATGAATTTAAATTAATTTTACAGAAATAGTCTCACAAGTTGCTGAGTCTGTGTCCATAGAAGTTAACTGCATCATTATTTGTTAATTCCCATACATTAAATGTAAAAAAAAGATGATTGGTTAAATAAATTGCATATAATAGATCCATATAATGGAATAATGAACCCTATGCTATAGAAGAATACTAATGTGGGAAGGTTTTAATGCAGGCCATAATACATGTAGCTTATAACTGTGCTGTGCTCTTTACCGTGGACTTTCTTCACCCATCCCAGCCCCTTCTGTTTATTAATTCCATTAATTAGATGTCAAAACATTGCCTTGTTATATGTGCCTTCCATGACTTCTTATCACTTATGATAAATTTTAAAAATATTTTTCATAAATTTCTCCTCTATCCTCCATTAAGAAATGAGCCCCGAGATGGTAGAAATCATTTCATCTTTACAAAAGTATGCCCAATGCCTAGCATGGTGCTTTGGACAGAATAGACACAAAATGCATATGTATTGGGACAGTGACTGAATTTGGGCCTGGAAAAAGTCTTGATATGACAATAGTTAAATCGAGTGGTAAAATCATGGCTTTTGAGTTTCCTTTGTATCTGTTGGTGTTTACCAATTTTTTTTGCATTGAGGGTGTATTGCTTCTGTAGTTAGAACATGTATATGTTCATGGCATGAAAGCACTCTTTTGTAGATAGTAAAGACATTAAGGAGATTAATGTACTTAAGTTTCTACCCATTAGAGCCTATTGCTGCAGTTTGCTGTGGCTTGACATTCACTTCAAAATAGTTGAATTCATTTAACAAAACTGATTTTTTTTTAAAGTTTATGGAAAGACTTTATTCAGGTCAATAGAAAACCACACCATTATATTTTTTAAATGACTATCGAAGATCTTTGTGTAATTTATTACCACTTGCCTTTGAGAAACTAAGAGCTTGATTGAAACGGCAGCTTTGATTCAGTAAGGTTAATATTTATAAAAAGAATTAGATTGCTCTTACATGCCTGGAGCTTTCTTAATGATACACCATTGTGTTAAAAAGAACAGAATAAGCAGACACACAAGAAACATAATGTGTATTTTTCAACATCCAAATACAAACACTGTGTTCTTGGACCCACTTGTCTTTAAATGAAGAGTCTCAATTTTTCAATTAAATGATGAAAAGATGAAATAACAAAACCCAGAAAGAAAACTACGTAGGCATTTTCTTCTGCTTTTGCCCATTTCTCTTTTTAGGTACCAGAAGCAACAGAGTGAATTGAAGCAGCAATAGCCTTCTCTTCATGCAGGTCATAATAATACGTGGCCCCAAACAGGAAAAAGAGAAACATTATTAGAAGTCTAGTCTCGGTATCTTATAATACCACCCTTATTTTGAACATATGTAATCAGAAAGTACAGAACACTCTCACACATGAAGAATCCATATTTAACCTGCCTATTATATTTCCCACTTTATTTTTCATCTTCTGACAAGGAGAGACTATACCTTATTTGCGACCTATCTTACTAAGTTCTGGATAAATGGTTCTGATCTGAATCTGTTTCAGACGTTGATCACTTACAGAACTTGCTGTCAAAACTCTCCCCATCCTTAAACTTGGAAGTGGAACTGGTTAGAACTGAAGTTGCATGAAATGCAATTATCTCATTTTTTTTTTTTTATTAGGACTTTGAACTGCTGTGAACTGTGTCCCTGTTAGGTGAATTGGGTGAACAAACTGAAGAGGGTAAGAACTGCAGGTCTTGAAACCTTAGCACATGACTTACTCCGACACCTTATGTACAGTGCTACTTCGTTTTCAATTTATAAACTATAAACACTGTCTTTATCTTCTCTGGATAAAAGTGAAAGCTTTTCCATGGGTTGAGTGTTATTGTTTGAAAATAATTTCATTTCAAAATGAATAATAATAATGCTGCTGACAACCTTTTTGATGTCCTCTTTCATCTCAATTTTCCCCATGATTTATTTTAAAATAATAATTAGCATAAATTATTTAGAATACCTAGCATAAATCTGATCATCTAGTTTACGCTTAGCTTCATACACAAAAATGATGACAGTATTAACATCTCTATTTACTAATATGAAAAATGAGGCTCAAAGGGTAACTTAAGGCCTTACACTTAGGTTTAAAGTCAAACCCAGTTTATCTGACTCCAAAACCTATAATCTGTTCATTACTTTATGCTGTCTAGTTTTTTTTAATCCAAATTATTTATTTATTTTTTAGTGGCTCAATATATATTTTTTGAATAACTGAAAGACATGAGTTTACACTAATCTGCCAATGAAAAATGGATCTGGGTACAGGATTTGCAAGGCCCAGTGCAGGATGAAAATGCAGCATTCTGTGTCCCAAAATTATGAAGAGGTTTAAGACAGTAACAATCTAGCATTAAATAGAGGGCAGAGTCCTTCAGAGCATGGGGCCCTGGATGCATGCCGGTAAAGCCTGCCTTAACTACAGTATGACTTTACAACAATGGCCAAAGAATAATTTCTTTTTTTAATTATGTCTTTTTTAAAAGGATTAAGCAGTACTACCTTAGTTAATGATATTGTCAAAGTCAGATTTCAATGTAATTTTGTTTGAAATCTTCAAATTATAAAAGCTAGTGGGGATAGTGTGAGATAAGATATCAGCTATCCAGGCTCTGTTATTAACTATTTAACCTGATCCTTATTAGAAAGACTGGGCAAAGCCCCAACACTTCCAAGCTCTCCTCCCCTAGAGGTTGCGCTGATTCAAAGGAATAAGATGATGTACTGTTCAGCTCCTCATTAGAAGCCAGAAACAGGCTGGGCGTGGTGGCTCAGTCTGTAATCCCAGCACTTTCGGAGGCTGAGGTGGGCAGATCACAAGGCCAGGAGTTCGAGGCCAGCCTGGCCAACACGGTGAAACCCCGTCTCTACTAAAAATACAAAAGTTAGCCGGGCATGGTAGTGGGTGTCTGTAATCCCAGCTGCTCGAGAGGTGGAGGTTGCAGTGAGCTGAGACCGTGCCATTGCACTCCAGCCTGGGTAACCAAAAAAAAAAGAAGCCAGAAAGGTAAGGTGTGTGTTTCTAACTGCACGGTACCTCTGTCTTTTTCCTGCCAGGGATTATCCTGGTCTGTGATTAGCAGACTCATCTGCACTCAGTAGGGAACATAAAACCAGGAAGGGAGTCAGGAACCTGTAGTCTAGGAGTAGCTGAGGCTTCACCTAATGAGAACATTTCGCTATAACTTAAGTCTGAACCTTCCTCTCTGATCAAAGTACTCTAGAAACTTGACCACTATCATTAAAATATCTGTCCAGTCTATTTCCCATTCTGACATGTCTGACCCATTGTGTTGCTCAGAGTTCTCAGCATATCAGTGGAATAGCTTCTTCACCCAATTCCCTAACATGGTGACTCTCTTGTAAGGCATTGTCAGCTCTGGAGTGTGCAAAGGACCACTTGACAAGGTTTTGCCTTGACTTAAGGGTTTGATACTAACATATGCAACCAAATCACTATATATGACTCTTATTCAATACATTGCAGGAAGTGGGTAACGCCTACAAGCTTAAAGGCCTTAGCCAGGACAGGTTAAGGCCTTAGCCAGGACAGCAGTTTCTCATGAAACTTTGCAAATAGACTATTTTCTAGGATAAAGCAGTTTTCACACTAGAAAGTCCCTCTATGGCCCAAACTCCCACAAAGAGGTAGAAACCACCTCTATCTTCTTAGAACATTTCCACGATTGGGCATACTATCTGACATTTAGTAGGTGATTATTACATATTTTTTGAGTAAAAGAATATACGGCCTTTCAAATTTCAGGAGAGCCATACTTCTAGGTTCTTTCTGCTCTGTGTTTACTGTTTTTCACTAACAAGTTCCAAAATATTTCATTTACTTTATTTGTTCCTTAGTTTCCTAGTGCTTTAATATGGTATTTATAGCATTATTTTTTTCTTAACTATCTAACACTTCTGATTTAGGATATTTTTTCCTAACTTATACTTCTAGTAGGCAATACGTGAGCTTTCTTCAGAGGACTTCCCACCCTCAGCTTGCACTGACTTCTGCTCTGTTCCAGGTATGCCACCTGGCATTTTATATGCATCATGCAATTTAATTATTAAGCCGATCACAAGTATCCATCGAACATTTGCCACATACCAAACATAATTCTAAGGGCTGAATAGAGATGGAAAAACAAGAGACACCTCAAAAATTTTACGTCTAAGAAGCTGGAAAATAAATATGGAAACCAAGTCT